ATTTAAATTTAAAATGTAATATTAAGATTCACATACAATTCATTGTACTAATAACTGTTCTTTATGAGCTCTGATTTTAAAAAATACCAAGTTAACTAGTACTTACATCAGTAGAGATGATTCCATTAATGATGAGAAATTCAATGTGCATGAATTGTTCAACTTTAATATATTTGCAATCGACCAGGGGAAAAAAAAACCCTGATCACTTCCCTCCTTCAGGAAAAAATCATGAGATGATGAAGCGTTATTCAGTAAGAGTACAGCATTTCTACCACAATATTTTAACCATAACTTTCTACTCAATATCCACAGATTGTGGCTACTGACAGGACAGGATGCAGGGAATGGGGAGTTCTGTGTTAAAAAAGTTTCCAGCTCTGCAGATTTTAACTGTACCTCCAGAGTCATCTAATCTCTCTGGCTACAGGGGTATCTCCCATGTAACACTACTAATAGTGCCCTCACTGCACCCATGTTTTACAATCTACGATGTGCAGAAAAAGGAAGCATGGAAAGGAATATGATGTGATGGTAACTGGTCTGTTTTTGGACTGCCTCTCTTTTTTTTCTACCGTAATATTTCATCCAAACTGAAATAGGTCCAAGAGGACATTCTTTAATGTGTGAACGTGTTACGGAAGTTTTCTGCTAGCGATATACATGACTTTTCATGAAGTATTATCATATGCAAAATATCAACAAAACCCCAACCAAGAATTATTAAGCAAAGTGCATGAATTAAATGTGCATGATCAGATGTAGATTGCTCACTACTATTTCACTTCTCTTTCTTTAGCTACCTTGATCACCACTCAGTATTCTGTAATTAAAAAAATCAATAATAGTACTATATAGGCCACATCTTAATTGGTTGTTTACGCCTAGAGGAGGAAATTTATTAGAATTTAGGTGACTAATTTCCAAAGAAGGATCCAGGTTGCAGCCCCAAAACACTTCAGGCAACTAAGTCTATTTGGTACATACATTTTGGACAGCAAAGTTTCATAAATGTTCAATGCAGTTGATAAATTTGACTATGCTCAATGCAGTTGGTGTGAGTGAGGTATGCATGGAATATCCGTAATGGATCGGGCCTGTCTTAGGAGTTTAGATGTCTTTCTAGCACCCATATTGAAAGAACTTAGGTAGGAACCAGGCACTTAGGTGACAGATCATGCCCATGCATAAACAGAAGCCCAGGTGTAGAGCCCCGCCCAGCCAGAGAGCATGTCAGGATGCTGGGGGACTCTGATTTAACTTAAACCAGCAAGGGGTCTGGGACAGACATTGCATAAACCAGTTTGACCCAAGTCAGTTAAGTCTGATACTACATTCAGCCGGGTTTATCTCAAACCAGTTTCAGTTATTTTCAAACTGGTTGTTGTGCACTGAATGTCTGTTCTGTTACAGGTTTAAACCAGTTTCTGATCATTTAAACCGGTTTATGTGTAATGTCTGTCCCTAGCCCAAGTGACAAAACTGGGTTTAGCTTCAAATATTCTTTTTCTCACCTTATTTCCGCATAAGACTGTAGTCCCATTCTTTTTGTGTTCTGAGACAGTTCCTTGTGGACCTGCAGGACCTACAACTCCTTGTTCACCCTTGTGAAACAAAATGGAAAATAATGCTTACTCTGAAAACAATTATAAATAAAAACAACAACATAATGTGGAACTACTATTTACTATTTAAGAAGTAACAGAATATTACTTTAGCAAAACTAATCATCAAATAACCCTAAATACAACATATCTGATTGCAAAAGAAGCAATCATGTAACAGGGTGGCAGTCTAAGACGTCTCTCCATTATTCTCAGGGAAGGAGCCAAACCTTTCAAAAACGCTGAGTAACTAGTACCGATTCATAACGGAGGCCCATCTTGTTATTTCTGAAAGAATACAAAATGGTTTGAGAATCTCACTCAGAATGAGGAGAAACTAAGGACTGGGAAAGAAGGGATCTTTTATAGAAACTCCATGATTGGAATGATAAAGAAAGACTATGCTGTGTCACTGGAGTTCTCAATAAAGACTAACCCCTAGAAGAGGATAGTTTTGGAAGATCCTAGATATTTTGTTCGCAGTAGGATGAGAACACCCCTGCTTGAACACTATAAAATCAACATCTGTTAAAAGAAAACACTTCTTAAATGATCCCATATATTCCTTCTGTACAAGACTTCCTGCTCATTTTTTTTTTGGAAAAAAGCTAACCCCAGTAATCCATGTATTTCTACTGTAAGCATTTTCCAATGACTTCATGTAAGCCAACTAAGTTCTCTTGTAAGATGTTTTTTCCCTATATATATCCTGCTAAAAATGGCAACAAAAATTCACTAGATAAAATACATGGTGATAATAATTTATTTCTTTAGCAATCCAGAATGCAGAATTATGATCAGTCAGGATAAACTATTTACAATATAAAACAAAGGTAAAAAAAAAACTTCCTGTACTAAATTTTTTTTAATCATCTGTTCAGTATAAGGAGATCTGCTAACAATACAAAAAACATTCCATTCCCATCTTAAGTTAAATTACAAATAACTGAAATAATGAAAATTACTGTAACAAAATATCCAGATATGAACTGATCTAACCAATATGGTTTATCCAATAGAAAATTAAGTCACTAATATATGATTATTTAAATGTCAATAAAGTAGCAGATAAAGGAGAAAATTTTTAAGCTGAACTAATTTATTTGCCACTTCCAAAAGACCATGGCCTTTACCTCATTTTCAGAGAAAATAGTCCCATGGGTAATAAATGATGGTTTTACAAGTCCATCCAAACTCAGTCATTATAAAGCACAGGTAATTGTTGATCATTTCAATGGCCATAGAATCAGCTGGAGTTACAACACATATAAGAATAAGAGGAATCTAATTGAAGCAAGGGTACCAAAGTCTAATGCATCTTTAAAGGGCATAAGGATTTACACCTAAAACCATCTAAATTTAATCCACAATTCAGTTTCCTAAATCCTTCCTAACTCTTTCAATGGTGGTTGATGGAAGAGTTTGAAAAGAGCAGGTCAAAGGCACTGTGTTCACAGACTTAAAATTATAGAGTCATAGAAAATTAGGATTGGAAGGGACCTCTGGAAGCCATCTAGTCCAAACCCCCTGCTCAAACCAGCAACATCCCCAACTAGGTCATCCCAGCCAAGGCTTTGTCTAGCCGGGTCTTAAAAACCTCCAAGGATGGAGAGTCCACAACCTCTCTGGGTAACCTGTTCCAGTGCTTTACTGCCCTCCTAGTGAGAAAGTTCTTCCTAATATCTAACTTAAATTTCCCTTGCTACAATTTGAGATCATTGCTCCTTATTCTGGGAACAGTTTAGCTCTATCCTCTTTTGAACCCCACTTCAGGTTGCTGAAGGCTGCTATTAAATCCTCTTTCAGTCTTCTCTTCTGTAAACTAAATAAGCCCAGTTCCCTCAGACTCTCCTCAAAAGTCATGTGCCCCAGCCACCTCACCATTTTTGTTGCCCTTTGCTGGACTCTCCAATTTGTGGGGCCCCCCAATTTGTTCACACCCTTTTTAGAGGGGGGGGGGGGGGGTAGGGCAGCAAAACTGGACATAGTACTCCAGTTGTGGCCTCATCAGCACTGAATAGAGGGGAATACTCACTTCTCTTGATCTGCTGGCAACACTCCGACTAATGCATCCCAGTATGCCATTAGCCTTCTTTGCAACAGGGGCATACTCTTGACTCATATTTAGCTTATTGTCCACTATAACCCCCAGATCCATTTCCACAAAGCTGTTCCTAGCCAGTCAGCCACCACCCTGTACTGGTGCATGGGTTTACTCCATCCTAAGTGCGAGATTTGGCACTTGTCCTTACTGAAGCCTCAAGAGATTTCCTTTGGTCCAATCCTCCAATTTGTCTAGGTCATTCTGAACCTGAACCCTACCCTCCAGCATATCTAATACTCCCCACAGTTAGCATCTACAAACTTGCTGAGGGTGCACTCGATACCATCTTCCAGGTCATTGATAAAGATATTGAATAAAACCAGCCCCAAGACTAACCCTTAGGTCACTTCACTTGATACAGGCTGCCAGCTGGACATAGAACCATTGACGACTACCCTATGAGCCAAATGATCCAACCAGTTTTCTATCCATGTTACAGTCCATTCATCCAACCCATATTTCCTTAGCTGACCTGCTAGAATGTTGTGGAAGACTGTAACAAAAGCCTTGCCAAAATCAAGGTATACCACATCCACTGGTCTCCCTGCATCTACAGAGCACGTCAGTTCATCATAGAAGGCAATCAGGTTGGTCAGGCATGACTTGCCCCTGGTAAATCCATGCTGACTGTTCCTAATCACCTTCTTCTCCTTCAAGTGCTTAGTAATAAATTATTTGAGGGTCTGCTCCATGATTTGTCCAGCAACTGAGGTGAGGCTGACCTGTCTATATTTTCCTGGATCCTCTCCTTTTTCAAGCTTTTCCAAGTAGCCCCTAACCTGTTCTTTTGCTGCAGTTGACTGCTCACCTCTTCCCTAAATTTTGCTGCTTGGTGCAGTAGTTTGGGAGCTGACCTTGACTGTGAAGACTGAGGTGAAAAAGGCATCAAGTATTTCAGTCTTTCTGCAGCCTCTGTCACTAGGTTGCCTCCCCCATTCAGTAAGGAACCCACACTTCCCCTAATCTTCTTCTTGTTACTGGCTTCCCAGGGGATCCTGCCTGTGAGTTCCCTGAGTGAGTCAAAGTCTGCTTTTCTGAAGTCCAAGATCCTTACTCTGCTACTTTCCTTCCTTCCTTTCCTCAGGATCCTGAACTCAATCATCTTGTGGTCACTGCTGCCCAAGTTGCCATATACTATTACATTCCCCACCAATTGTTCCCTGTTTGTGAGCAGCAGGTCAAGAACACCATGGACCCTAACTGGCTGCTCCAGCACTTGCACCAGGAAGTTGTCCCTGACACTCTCCATAAACTCCTTGGGTTGCCTTCACACTGCTGTATTGTCCTCCCACCAGACTTGTCAGCAGCATATGACAATCAACAACCAGATAGTCCTTAGCAAAAAAATGCAGAATGACAAGAGATCATTCCATAGTTGGACTGATACAATCTATATTTAAAAATGGAGATTCTAAAACAAACTGTGTACAAGCATAGCTGACTGCAGAAAATGAAATAGTATACCATAAAGAACTTTTACCTATAGTAAAAACCATCTACATGAATAATCAACCAGTCCCTCCCAGCACAAGAAGCTTTATCTATATGGATGACTTATGTATCACCACCTAAATCACTGACCTCTCAAGTCAAAGCTTTGTTAATATCAGTGCTCTCTGGGCTCTGACTACTACACCAAAAAACAATGGCATGCCAATCTGACTAAAAGCAAAATGATTTTTTTTTACCACTAGAAACATAAGAGGAAAAACAACTCGTTATAACCTGGAAGGAGTGCAATTTGTCATGTGCAAGAATCATTCTGCCTGGAAGTGATACCTGACCATGGGCTTTCTTTTAGGAAAGCAAGGTTAGATGGACCCAAGCAAGTTACATGAATGGACAATACAATGGCTAATGAAATTCAGTGCTGATAAAAGCAAAATCCTGACAGTATGGAAAAATGTAAATCCTCATTCACTTTAAAGGTGCATCAATTCAAGGGAAGGACATTGGTGTCAATGAGTTGTCCACATGGAATGCAGCTGTTTCAAGTGTAGCTCCAGTCAATAAAGCAAATAAGATGTCAAGGTGTACAAGGAATGAAATGGCAATTAATATAGAGAAGCATTACAATGCCAGTATATAACTCCACGCTGCAGTCTCTTGTGAAACAGTTTTTGTCAATATAACACAAAAAGGAAATTTCAGAATTAGACTCAGAAACACACAAAGAAAATGATCAAAAGCCTCTCATGAGGCAGAACTGAATAAGCTATTATTGTTTACCTTAGAAAGGAGACAAACAGTATATACAATAATAAGTGGCCTAGAGACTAGGAAAAGAGACAAGGAGACCTTCAAATAAATTAAAAGGTAGAAAATTAAAAGCTGTTCAAAGGAAATATGTTTCCAAACAGAATTAGACTACTGGAAGGTCTTTATACTTTTCTCTGAAACACCTGATACTAAATGCTGTTTTAGACAGCGCTGGGCTAGATGAATGTCAGAACCTATTCCAGGCATATCATATTCTTTGAACCTTTATGGTAATTAATTTACTTATTAGGTGGTGATTTAAGCTATTCCATTTTTCTAAAATAAAAAGAAATCACCACAACAGCCAATCTTTAAAATTAGCACAATCCCAAAGACATTGCTAGCAGTTGTATTTTATAAGGTTCCAAAAAAAAAACCCAACAAAAAAAAGGGAGTTACCTTTTCACCTTTTGGTCCTTGAAAGCTCAAGCCCATATGACCCTGAAAAAAAATGCTATTGATTTAGCAATATTTATTTAAATATATATTTTGTCTGAAATATAAACTACCCTATATAAATATATAGAAACTCATCTAACCCACCCTATGTTTTTCTGACTTAAATTAGTTACTCACAAACCTTGATTTGTCTTATTAATTTCTTGTAGTGCCTGTAATGTATTAGGCATTTTCCAAACATAAACAGCACATATGACAATAATGAGACTGGATAATTTTTTTTAAAAAGCAAATAGAAGACATGGGACATAAGGGAAGAGAAAAACATACAGGTAACATGACTTTACAATGATAATATGCATATAATGAAAATTCAAAAATATAGCACATGTATACATGGGTAGGAAGTTTTTGTCAGTCAGATCTATATCTTCTCATGCTTATCTTTTTTGAGATGTAAATATATAGATGTACAATCAATCCCAAATGATTCTATAGCCTTACTGTAATATTTATCAATGTCTTTTGTCTTTAGCTCAATTACAAGTTCAACTTAACAAACATGGTAATGGTGGGATCAGAGCTATCATGTATATTTTGCCTCCAAATAAATGTCAGGAACAAACACTGGACACCAGGTCCCTTTTGCCTCTGTATTAGCTCCAAGAATATCTGCAGCAGTACTTTTTGGATCGTGACAGTCCCACGTTCTTTTCCTCTGCTCTTATTACCCTCTGGTAGCTAGGACTGGTAAATTATGCAAGTGTTTTTTTTTCTTGCCTCTAGATACCAGAGGATGCTACAGCTTCTGCTGCTTTTGCAAACAACCAGCCATGAGGAGCCATTTCAGCTCAGGAGGAAAGAAAAGAGGTGATTCAAGGTGGAGACTACAAATACCCATGAGAGATGCAAAGGAACAGATAATCCCCCAAAGTGGGCAGAACAAGGTGCATCAAAGGTGACAAAAAGTATGGAAGAAGGGAACTGCATAGAGAAGTAGAAGAAAGAAATAACAGTTCTTATTGTAAAGTCTGAGGAGCCAGCTGTCTATGACAGAATTCTCCTGCATACTCTGCATTGACCACTCCTGGCCACCATCAGGAGAATAAGAACAAATACAGGTCATCCAGAGTTTGCTTAGGGCATAAGTGGCTGCAGATTGCTGAAATTCACATTTTAAAATATTCATGAAAACTGTTTAAGTAGAAAGCGGGAGTTTCCTTTCAACTGTTCCACAGATTCTGACCAAAATAATGCAGCAACAAAATGCAATATATGGCAGATGTCAAATTATGACTAATGGCCATTATACTATTTCATAATCATTTTACTAATACCTCACTATCTACCTCTCCCCTCTACAAGCCCATTTATTGTTTTAATCTACCTGTCACTTCCTATCATAACTTACATTGAAAGGTCTTTAGGACAGGTTATGGTTTTTTTCAATAAAAATGTATAAGGTCACTGAAGGTCCCAATATTCTCAAGTGAGTTCTTAGGACTCTTCAAATAATAATATAAAAAAATAAGAGTAATCAAAATAGGATGAAGAATACATGCTAATATAGTCAATTGTTCCCAAAGTTTGACACTGTCCAATATTGAAATTTTCAATTTGACCCCCAAAAATCATTATAGAATGTAAAATTTAGTGGTGTTTTAGTCACATAAGAGAATAGACTTAAAGAGCAGTATAAACAATGCCCTTTTGTACGTACTGTTAATTAATATATACTTTTAAATTTAGGAAAAAAAACCCACCAGAAGGCAAGCAATTTATCAGTCCTCTTTGGGAACCTACTTTCCAGCCTATCTGGAAACTGATTTGTAAAAATAATAGCAGAAATGTTTGCAATGATAATTCTATCTGAGAAAATTCTTACCTTCTCTCCTGGAGGTCCTGGTGGCCCTGGCGGACCCTGTAAGATAGGACATTTTAGTTTAGTTCTGCATATCATCTTTGATACTTTTTAACTTACGTTGGCCATTGCAAATGCTAGCCCCTCACAAGTTCTTCATTTAGCTGAGTGAGAAAAATGTATATATGATGTTCTCAAGACTTTTAAATGGCAATCGAATCCATTATTTGCTTCAACTTATGAATTAATGCAAATAATAAAAAGTGAATACTATTTGTCTATAATTTACCACAAGAAGCATGAGACTGCCACTTCACAGTGAAGAAGTGTTGGATCCAGTGAGTATTTGGACAGGAGATCCTCCAAGGAAACCTAACATGTAGGAAGCAGCGCTAGTAATTTGGAAGCCAGTGTTTGTTCTTTCAAGTCATTCTTGAAAGTCCAGTCTTATGAAAACTGTACCATGGAAAGTGTCATTTTTTTCAAATCAGATATAAAACTGCAGGTCACTTGAACTGACTGAATATTAATCTCATATTTTCTTTGTTTGGATAAATCCTTGTTAATGCAAGAAGTGTAACCAATGGCCATGACCAAACTCTACCATAATTACATTACTGCAGGAGCAGTTCCACTTTACCAGTGTTTCCTAATAATTTTACAGCATGATATCCACAGGACGGGAATCATAAAAGAGATTGCCTTGAACACAGATCATCACTATAATAAACTATGCTGACTTAAAAAAAATGAGATTAGTTAGTTCCTACCTGATGTTATATGTGTCCATAAAAGGTAAAAACCTAGAATTTCAACATCTACTATACCTGTCAGCATTTTAAATGCTTTGAACTTTTGCAATTTACCACAATAGGAGACTTTTTACGTAAGATTGCAGTTCCTTTTGCAGTTGTTCCTAATGGTATATCTAAAAACAACCTCAGCAAGCATTCTGATTCAGATTAGGCTGCAAAGCCAGAAATATATTATACGGGGGTTCAAGATGGGAGAAACTCTAAGAGTTTGGTTTAAAAGTGAAAAAAGAAGGGTAGATTCTAACTAGCACTGGAGTAAGTAGGAGTTATTAGTTCACTGATAAAGTAAAATTATTCCTTTTTACTGTAACATCACAGTGAAAGTCTGGCAGAACAGGGAATGGAATCAGAGCCCTGAGAGTTGTAGGCTAGTGCTTTCTAATTGCTAGACCACCCTTCCTTGCAGACCTTTTTCATATAGCAGAATTGCATAAATCATCATAAAAGAATACTTACTGGTTCTCCTGGAATCCCTGCTGGCCCAACGGGCCCTTGGATTCCTGGCAATCCTGGTATACCCTGTATAACAAAAAAAAAGAAGCTATTAATAAGAAGGCGCATATTAAGTAATATAATGTTGCTTATCTAGTTTAAGATTGACTGTTCTTTAGTTAAGACTTACTGGTAGTCCAGGATGGCCAGGAAAGCCTTTTTCACCCCTTAGGATAGCTGGTATGATCCCGATTACTTGGCCTGGATCTCCCTATGATTGAAGAAGGTAAAATAAAGGTAAAACATTTACGGGCACACAAATAAAACATTCAAAGCACTGATGTTAAACCTGACGTAAAGTACAAAACATAGCATGTACATGGAAATCTGGAATCATTGGGGAAGATCATTTTAAATGATAGCAAAGTAAAGTTAGATTAGACTTTGGGAAAACCTTTCTACTGTTAGAGTATACTACCTCACCCCATCTGAGAACATAAGTTCAAAATTAAACAGACTATGGAAAAAAATGGACTATTTCCCCCTCCCTAAATAGCATACAACCAAAATAAGACAATAGCATTTCCCAGAATTAATGCATATCTTTAATTAACTCTTCTGGTATCAAAAAATGTCATTTTCATATATTCTGAATAGGTCACAAAACTTTATGATTAAGTCATATTCTTTCAGTTGTATCTTCTGCATATTCATGGGGGAAAAACCCCACCAAAATGCCAAAATGTTGTATTACTATGAGGCATTTCTTTCCATATGAGAAAAAGAGACAACAGTCTTTTTTGCTCTAAGTAGCCTTGTCACTACAAAATTGTGATTATACTTATGATTTACACCTGATTGCCATTTCAAAAGGTACCCATTAATTTTATACCCAAGTCTGTATCCCGACAAGCATAACTGTGCAGTATGTGACACCGCAGACATGTCTGTGGCACCACATATCACACATTTGGGTGTTTTCTGCAGTGCAAGGTAGATCTCCTTGGGTCAAAAAAACTTGCACAAAAAAAAGCAAGGCGGTGCACAATGGGGACAGTGTACGCCACCTAAAACCAAAACCCAACCAGCTGGACCCCAGATAAGGCTGCTGGGGCTGGCCCAGTGCTGGCCCCAGTCTCCCCTACCCCGCCTAGGGTAATCTGCATTGCACTAGAGGGTGCTTGTCACAGGTGGTCCCCAGGGACAAGTAGCAGCAGCACAAAGTGTGCTGCTGCTTCTTGCCCCCAGGGAAACAAATGTCCACACTTGTGTAGACGTGGCTCAGGTGTGAAATACTTCCCTCTTGATTTAATATTTTATTCTTTAGAATGAAAGAGAATGTAACAAATACTTAGCTACCTATACAGTTAGTTTTCATATATACTAAAATTCAATTGTTTACTTAATAGGTAAAAGGCCTGGCTGATGTTTCTGGCTGTTGAGCTATATGTCAAGAAAATCTCTGTAGAAAACTGACTCAGCAGGTGAAATGATGAAGTTATCCTGATAACTTCAAAATACATATATGCTTCAATCTTAAAATGAAGTTAATGATTTATATGCTACAGGGTGAGCATGAGGCTGGTTACACATACTGAAAAGGATTTACTTTATGCTCTGTCACTGTAGCCCAGCTATATTTATTCTATATATAGGATTTCTGCATGTGCTTAACTTTATGCACAGGAAGGTAGTCTGAGGTTTTTGTGAGCAATGGAATTATTTTATGTGTAAAAATTTTGCAGCCCAAAAACTAAGGGCTGCTAATTTTAGTAGGCATAGGTAATCTGAATTTTTACTTTTGATATGAGTGCGTTCATTTTTAAGAACAAAATTTACCTTAATTCCAGGAGGTCCTGGGGGTCCCTGGAAAAAAAATACTTTAAAATTACTCCCTTTTTGAAGCATTCATTGTTAGTACTATACAAGTTTCACAATATTTAAAATTTAAAGAATCACAGGTGGAAGGAGTGAAGTATGCATCAAATATTTGCTTACCATGCTCCCAGTCAATCCAGGTAAGCCTGGAGGACCAGAGGGACCTCTTTCACCCTAAAGACAGAAAAAAGAATGACTGTGTTGAAAAAATGCATTCTTGAGGTTTTTAATTATACACAAGAAAATTATAGTTAAAAATGTAAATTGCAACCTTTGTGCCATTGCAACCTGGGATACCAGGTGGACCAGGTGGGCCATCTTGTCCAGGGATACCCTGCAGTTAGGACAAAAGCAGAAACAGTTACCAAGGCAACATTGATCCAGGCAGGATGTAATCTTTGATGTTCTTTGACATTCTTTGTAAATACATATATGCTTCATACATACAGGAAGGCCGGGGTTTCCTGGATATCCTGATGAACCTGGTGGGCCCTGCAATTAATGAAAATGTATGAAGAGGAGAACACAAACATTTCAAAATTATAAGACAGAATCACAAAATTAGCCCAAAATTTTAACTATGTTATTTAATAGGCAAATTCAAACAAATAAATAAATAATTTTGGCTTTTTCTTTAATTTTGAAAAATCTTATTTTTATGTTTTCTACAATAGGGACTGGATAACAACTTTAAAGCACAGGTAATAAAACTAAGCAGTTCTAGTTTTGCACATTTACCACAGTCACTCATACTATGAAATCTACTATAAACATCTTTATGCAATAAAAGATGATGGTAACACATTACTGCCATTGCTTCCTCATCTCACATAAGTCATGTTAATTTAGCAATTTCATTTTGATTACTCTAACAATTGCAGAATTTAAATGATTATATTCTTTTTTTACCAAACAGTCCCTGGTTTAACAAATCAGAATTTCATCTGATGACGTCCTTCTCATGCTACTGACTTATTTAGTCTTCTAGTGTTTTCAAACGTAAGTCCTAGCAAGCCAGAAAGAAACATGTGCTCACTCTAGCTTAGGTGATACAGTTCCATCCTGAAACTTCTTAGTACTATTAAATGAACAACCTGTCAGTGGTGGTGAATATGTAGAGTCATAAAATGCATCCAAATCAGCATAACACTAGATTTATTATTAACATTAGGGATTGAATTGTTGATCTCTTGATAGCTTAAGACTCCCTTAGTTCACAGCCTACAACTGATTATCAACCTCTATAGAGTAGAGCCACTAGAGAGGAATGGATGGCCACAAAATGGGTCAGCAGAATTCTTGTACATATATTTTTGCAAAATGCAAAGGCAAGATAGTCTTCAGCGGAAAAAAACATCTCAGGTTCTCTTTCAAGCAACAAAAATGTAAGACAAGTGTCACAATCATACAGAATTGACAATAGCAAGAATGACAGCTGCAATATCATAAGTATACCTAGAATGGGCCTGGATGTTTTGGTAGAAGTACAAGGTGGTTTTAAATCAGGTAATAGAGGTGATAAAGTTTAAGGAGGGCTCTTCCTGTGGACGCAAAATAAGTAGCAAGGCCAGGGGCCATTGGTATTATTGGTGGAATGATAAACACCATGGTAACAGAAGACCAAGATAGCAGAGAAAAACAAGACTGGAGAGGAGGCCATCTAAACAATATCCCTGCTCAAGACAGGATAAGCTGTCTAAACCATCCCAGGTAATTTTTGGCCTAGCCAGCACTTAAAAACTACTAATCGTGTGGATTCTGCCATTTCTCTGGGTAGCCGATTCCAGTGTTAGATCACCCTCAGAATAGAAAGATCTACCTCATACCTAAGTCAAAACTTCCTTGTTGCAAGTTAAGCCCATTACTTCTTACCCTGTCCCCTGTGAACACAGAGACCAATTGACTGTTGTCTTCTTCGTAACAACCCTTTTTTGTATTCTAATCCTTCCTACATCCTCTCCAGACTAAATAATTCCCATTCTTTTCATTTTATGTCATGTTTTCTAGACTTCTAATTTTTTTTTTGTTGCTCAAACCTGAATTCTTTCCAAAAAATATGTAGACAAATTGAAATGCAGTGCCAAAAACCGGACACATTACTTTAGGTAAGACTTTACCAATGCTGAACTGAGTGGAAGAACCACTTCCCATAACTTGAGTATAACACTTCTGTTAATACGCTGCAGTATGCTTTTAACTATTTTTCAAAGATATTACTGTTGACTTGTAAGCACTTGCTATTTTTCAAAGATATTGCTGTTGACTTGTAAGCACTGTAAATCCCTAGTACTGCAATCTAGCCATGCATTCTCCATTTTGTGCATCTAGTTTTTCCACCCTGAATGCAGTACTTTTAACTTGTCCTTCCTGAATGTAGTTTATTTCAGACAATTTTTCTAATTTATCAAGGTAATGTTGAATCTTAAGCCTGTTCTCTAAATTGTCTGTCACCTCACTCAGCTTGCTGTCATCAGCAAATTTACTAAGCGAATACTCAATTCCATTCTCTAAATTACTAATGAAGATAATTGAACAATGCTGGACCCAGAACAGAGAGTTCAGTTCCCCTGGGGAGCCTCACTTGATATCTTCTCCTAGAAAGCTCTCTTACAAACTATTAAACAAATATAAGCAGGTACTCACTCGTGTTCCCTTTGTTCCTGGCAGCCCTGGTTCTCCAGTATCACCCTGCAAGAAAATCAAATGTATTCGTCTTTCTCAGCAACAATGGTTTAGGTGAAGGGTTGGCAACCTTTTTATCACTACGGGCAACTGCTGACAACCCCACACTCCTCAGCTGTTAGCAGAAGCTGCAAGAGAACTATATAAAAAAAGGCAGCCACTAGAATCCTAAGGATGCCTCCTCTGCCACTGTCGTTGGAGTAAGCTGCCATTTCCCTGAACTGCTACAGGCCAGATCCAATCTCTTCACAGGCCAGATCTGGCCCCCAGGTTGGAAGTTGTCAACCCCTGCTTTGAAGAAGTCTGATCATATAAAGGTGCAACTATATGGTGCAAGCCAGTGCCATGTATAAGACACCCTTGCTAGCTCTGCACGTGCTAGCTCTGGAATTGGAAACAGTATAACCCAGGGGTGCTCAACTTAGTGGTGCTCAGCCTCTCCAACCCCATTACTTAGATGAATGGTGTGGGGCTGATCCACATGCTAGATCAGCATGAGGCTGGTCAGCATGTGGAGTTGGTCTACAGGGGTGATCTGGCATGCCCCTGTGTGTGGGGCTGGTCCACAGCACAAGCCCACATGCTGGATCTGGCTATCACACAACCCTGTGCACTGGCTCAACCCCAAGCGCTGGATCCAGCCATGGTACAAGCACATGCTGACATGATCTGGCATGCAGGGCCATGTCATCTGGTCCATGGAGCTCCCCACAGGTCCAGGAATTTGGCAGTGGCAGTTAATTGCTCCCAGGGCTGCAGCAATTAAAGCTGCCATTACTCCCCTGCTGTCAAATTTCTACATCTATGGGAAGCCCCATGAGCCAAATGACATGGATCCCTGGATGGGAGGTTAAGCACAACTGGCATAGCCATATCACCACAGTGCTGCAGCTGGGTGAATCAGCTCTGCTGAGAAACAGAGTTTATTAGACTGGACTGCACTAATACAGCTGCACTAATAGAAGTACCCCTTGCAGATCTCAGGGTATCGCTGCATGGGACTGACTTGTGCAGTGCTGACATACCCAAAAATATTGAATACAACTTACCTTAAATCCTGGTGGCCCAGGAGGACCTTCAGGTCCTTGCATTCCAGGAAACCCTATCAGACCTTGTAGTCCAGGCAAACCTCTTTCACCCTATGAAGAAAAAGAATACTTCAGCCA